TCGCTGTTTAAGTAATATGTTACATGCTCAGATTCCCCTGTTATCTCACCCCTCCAGCTGTAGTGGAGGTTATTGTTCGCAGCACGGAGACACATTTAATTTATTTCTTGGGATTCATCAGACATGTGGCAGCAGATCTGAGTAATGTGACTTGACTCCTGCTGCAGCTGGTAAGGCAAATATGAACCAATAAAAAAGATCAGATAGCTGTTTTGTAGCTTTAAGCCTGTCACAACCTGGCCTGGTTAATTTTTCCCATCAGATTCATCTTTGTGGAATCATGAATGTATATACCAAATTGGGCCAATCTCTCCAGAAGATACTGAGATATTTCAGTGGATAAGTGAACAACTTGACATGCTGGTAGCAAGCTGAAAAATCAAGCCCAAACATGGCCATTAGGGTCCATTACATTCCAAATTTCATGGAAATTGATTTGAGTTGAGGGGACAACACAAGTTAAATTACAATTGCTATAGTAAAATACATTTATTTTACATAACTAAGCAATGAATTAATGTAGAAACAAATACACCAAATATAGTGTTCAAGCTGTATGCAAATATTTACACGTATTGCAAAATGTAGTCAAAACAAAAAGGGATGGGGGTTCACCTGAAGCTCATTATTTCTTTCTCTTCTTTTAAGGTGATGGAAAAGTTGTAATTTCGTTTGTTCTTTGTTGTTGAGGGAACTCAACTCAACTCAACTCAACTTTATTTATATAGCGCTTTACCACAGCACAGCTGACCAAAGCACTTAACATATCATACAAATATAAAAAAAACCACACATAAATAAACTGCGATTCAAGCTCCACTGGCTTTGTTTTTCAATAGGTAATGAAGAAATACTCTTCTCAAATAGAATGTACTGAATATTTAGAGGATGGCTGACACAATAGGAGCATATGAAAGGACTGTAATATACCATACCATGGAATGATTGTTCAGTGTAATGAATTTCTTACCAGTCTCAAGATATTAAAAACAAATCAGTGAGAATTGTTTGGGTTCAGTGCAACACAGATATTGTATGAAATCCTTAAACTGCAAAAATTATGTATATTATAATCAGTATAATTTATGAAAATGTGATTAAGACTGAAGAAAGAGGCGTGGGCAGTGGTTAGAGAAACAACCTTTCATAAATGCATGAGAAACCTTGAATAGATCCATTGCTGGACCACTCATTTCCAGTCATTTGACCAGTTTTATTACATCATATATGGCACCATTATCAACAATTATTATATTGTTTAATTTTCCGGTCGAGCTGTTTGTGTGGTTCTTGAGCGTTTCCATAATGTCACATAATGGTTTCTTTTAGACCTCCCACAGAATTTTCTTTGGCCTGATTGAAGGGTGAATGAATAGTAACTCACTGTTTGATGTTGGGAGCACAGCTCTCCTGCTCGGATAGAGTTTTAAAACTGGGAGAAAAATAGGAAATGATAAATAACCTCCAGTGACTTTACATCTCCTCCAGCTTCATCAGGAGAAGGCCCTCAGAGGACAAGCTGCTCTAGCTGCAGTGCAGATTCATAATGACTCTGGAAGATAGACATCTTCGATCCTTCAAAAGCTACACTTTCATTTGCAACCTCTTCTCATTTCGAGATTATTAAAGTCTTTGATTAATTATGTGTATTATGGTGTGTATGTGAGAAGTTAAAGTGTAATTCATGACCGAGTTGTGCTTGCTGTGGCATTTAATAAGAATAGTAGCGGATGATAAAGTTGTTTTATGTACTTGCAATTGACAACTGACATTTACTGGAGGGTAACCAGCTGAACCAAAAGCAAAAGCTAAGCTGACAAAAACCAAAATCCTCTTTCTGGGACAGCCGTTCCCTAAACTGGTGTAATGTATCAGCATTTTAGTATTTCTAATGCAACCTTCAGCAAAATGCATTTAAGAAGAAGGTCCTCTGTTGTTGCTTTCTCCCTGAAAAACAAGCAAGCCACCCACTCAGCTGGATCAAGGTGTGCAACCCCAGCAAGTAACCTCCCTCACTTTACCTGGAGTGTATCTTTCTGTGGGAGGTTAACAGAACAAACACCAGTGAGAATGAGAGAAAACACAGAGAGATGTGTGCCTAGGTAGACATGTGTCTCAGGAGATCATTACTTCAGGGAAAATGATAAATGGGATCAACAGCAGTGTGTTGATGTCGTTCTACCTCACTGACACAGTGAGTCAACAGCTGTTTGAAAAACCCTTATCAGGATGAATGCCCAGCCCCACCCACCACCCAGCCTTACACACACACACATTCATCTGTATATGCACACAGAAAACACATATTGTAACTGTATCTGAAATCACAAATCTGAGCTCCTCTCGCACTCACTGTCCTCTCACAACTGGTGTATAGGGCACAGGTAAGAGGCCCTGAAATGCAGATGTATGCATATATGTGAAGTGAGCTTAGAAGAAATGATGATGACCATACTTACAGACAGACACACAGGTAGCTGAAACTGGCAGATTTAAATACTGAGAGAACTGTTAAGGAAACTGGGAATTCAGTTAAATTCAGATTTGTTTGTATAGCGCCAAATCACAACAACAGTTGTTTCAGGGCAGTTCTAGAGCTTACACTATTATAAGCAAAACCCAACGAATCCCCCTTGAGCAAGCACTTGGTGACAGTGGGGAATTAAAATTCCCATTGACAGAAGAAACCTCTGGCAGACCCTGGTTTTTGGGGGCAGCTTCCTGCCATAGTCTTTTGGGGTGACTGGATAGAGGAGAGAGAAAAGAAGAAAAGCATCAGAAAACAAGAAAAACAACAACTACAAAAAAATGGACAAACAGGTTAATGTGGTCGGTGACTGCTCACCAGATACGTACAGTTCTGGAGCCAGGGACACCTATAGAAAGGTACAGGGAGAAAGAGAGGAGACCAAACCAAACATATCCTGAAATACATGTCAGTAATTTCAGTAATTTCCAATAATTTCATAGACACTACTACATGGATACAAACAAAGGCAAAGGCCATACCGTTGACCATAATAGGGACAGGGAAGGTCAGATGACTATGTGATGTGATTGGTGGCTTGATGGAATATGGGACGAGAAGGAGGCAGAAAGGCTAAAAATAAACAGGGCTGAGAAAGTAATCTTGACATGAAGACCTAAGGTGTGTCCAGACTCCTGCTGAGGAGGCTCATTTCACCCACAGCTCCTGACTTTAGATGAAGGTTTGATTGTATACGTTGAGTTTCTGCTTCAACGATGGAGGCTTTTTCAATCCAGCTCAGTTGGTTGCATGAAAACATTCATAGAGTATGAAAACTTCACATTCAGACATTCCCAGTTCACCCTCTGTACTTAAAGTTGACCAGTTGTGTTAACTTTTAAACACAACTTCAGCTTCAATGTAAAAGTCATGAGTGATTAGGTTATGGGTTCCTGGTATCCTACTTGCAAGGAAAATCTATGAGCAGCACAGAAGTCCAATAACAGAATCAATTTTGTTAAGAACCCTTGTGGTTGGATATGGCCTGAGGTTTTGCTTGTAATCTTCATTCAATTAACTTACTTACCAAAGTTCATTACTGTTTTATATTTATCATAAAATATTAAAGTTCACATAAGACTGCTGGAGAACTTCTGTATGCCAGGTCATGAGAAAGGGAGTCAAAGTGGCAAAAATAAAAAGACCTTTGCCACAGAATTAATTTCTTTTAACCTGACAAATGTAATGAAAGTCTTGAATAAAAAGCTTAGTCCAAACTTCTAGACCCCTTTGGGAAGCACTGAATCATAGTGAACAGGTCCAGACCATAAGTACTTGGATGGATAAACATTTTTGGTTCTTCCTTGTACTTCAGCTCATTCTTTTTAAAATAACATGATGGATAGCACATTAAAAGGTTTATGTCAACACAGAAAGAACTGTGTGGGAGATACAGCATTTTTATCACATATTTGCAAAGTTTCAAAAGCAAGCAGACACTTAGCTAATAAATGTTGCTTGAATCACTAGCTGTGTGCAGTTGTAACATTAGTTCATGCACCACAGAGCTCAGGTGTGCCTCAGAGTTGGCTGAGACTTGTATTTGTTACTGTATGTATTTGTTATTCATCTATTCAGTGTATGCTTTTTAGACTATGTCAAATGGCAAATGAGATTGCTACTAAGTCCAGTTGAGTTAATACTAGACCATGAAGTGGAACCTAGCAAAGTATTGTTGCTCCGTTGTCCTCAGATCAAGCAACACATTGTCCATTTTATTGTCTATAAGTAGTGCTTTGACATTTATGTGGTACCAATAACTTCAGAGGTATTTTCTTTAAGATTCTGTTTCCATGCTGTGGCCGTGTATCTTAGAGTTCATTGTGCATCAGTGTCACATTAGAGTGAAGAGAGACAGGGAAAGTTTGAAAGCTCCCTTGAGGACTCTTTGTATCCCACATTGCCAGTAGAGCTTTAACTCTCCTGCCCTTACAAGTTTGAGGAAGAGATGGTAAATAAAGATGAGCGTGGCAGGAAAAAATGATGATACAAGCATGATCTGCATTAGATTGTCTTGCTGTGAAGACTTTATCAAAGCACAAGGAAATAAATTCTTTCCAATATCACTCACAGTATGTTCTACAGATTTGTCATAGATGTGTAGAGTGGGAGAGGAGTCTGTGTGTGTGTGGACAGCTGAGTACAGTGTTCACATCTGGGCAGCTAGTTATTTAAGAAATCAATAGGCTGTTAAATCTGGTTATCACTTTTAGTGTGAAAGCACATGCAGTCTTTCTCAGGAAAGGCGGTGGAAATAAGATGTTTTCTCTTCTGAGAGAATTCATTTGAAATGCTCTTGTAGAGGCCTGAAAATAGTTTTGTAAAAATTGACACCCCTAAAATTTTTATTTTCTTATTGTTCAATTTTATTTTTACTGCTAGTATTCATTTGGTTTCTATTACATCTCTTTTGAGTTGGGCGTATTTCTTATACTGGCCAGTAGATGGCGCATCACGCGCAGCACTGGTAGAGAGTAGGCATTGGGGCACGCCAGAGGAAGACTAATTCCTCGTGTGAAATAAAGCTGTTGAAACGTGTCCTCTGCATATTCTCTATCCCAGGTTGGTAAACACCAAACGTAACAGTTAAATGCAAACTGTAAGAGTTGTGTTGGGGATGATATTGATTCATGTGATATGGGGTGAAACGGGTTTTGTTGTAGAGTTTGGAGTGAACAGTGAAACGTGTTTGTAAGCTAACCTGCTAACGCTAGTGGTCAATTTAATGGGATACGATGTGGGAGAAGCTAATCCAATGGTACAAGGAGCCCTGTGAATACTACAGTTAACACCTTTATGACATGGGTTCATGCAATATGACATTTGCTGGTTTTATTTGTCACTATGTGCACATTTTCGGTTTATTACCAAATACCAGAAGTGCTATTGTGAAAATGTAGTAGATACATGGCGGTCATGTTTAAGTTTAAAAGGGAGCAACGCCACCTCAAGGACATTGTTTGTGAATTGTATATTTAGCTAGTTGATTAGATGTATATGTTTCATGGTTTACTGTTAACAATATTATTTGTACGAGTTTAAAGACCACCCAGTAGTTCATTTAATGTTAAAGGTGAATTGTTAAAAAGGGTTAAAAGCATAAATATTCAATACAGTTCATGATATGGCAAGAATACGGTAAAATGCAATAAGTTAAAAACAAAGTACACATATTGGGAAGTGAGTTGTGTTACTTTGGGTTAGAGAGACATTGGTGAATTGGTGGATGAGCATGATTGTATTTTTGCTTACTTGTGATGTAATTAGACAAAAGAAAGTAACTAATAGAGCTTAACTAAGCTATGGCCACATGGACATTGGACTGGTATAAGGCTATTCAGTTCCCTTGTCATGTTAATAGGTGAGTGAGAGGAAGACTCATTCCTTGTGTGATATAAAGTTGTTGAAATGTGTCCTCTGCATATTCTCTATCCCAGACACACACCGTATGCCCTCTGAACCCCAGAGGAGCAACACTCTGGAAATGAATTAATTTTATCTTGTACCTTTTGGATAAGAAAACATTTTTTTATTATATTTTATAGTCTTTCTCCAGTTGACTGTCATATTCTAAATACACTTCATATTTAAATGTACAGTGGAACCTCGGTTTTCGTATGCCCTACTTTTTGTACGATTCGGTTTTCGACGACTTCATTGAAATTTTGTCCCAGTTTTCGTACATCCGCTCGGTTTTCGTACAGTTGATTGGTCGGTTCAGTGTCATTAGTCCGTACCAAACTCATCCGCCTGCCCACGTGACTCGGACACTCATTTCCAGAAATGAGTGAAGGGAAGTAACGCCGGTTAGGGCCTTGATACAAGAAGTCCTTATGGAGGGGGATTCCCCTTCCAAACAATAACCTCTCCTCCTTCCTCTCCCCTCCTCGCCGTCTTCCATAGTGAACAAGAGTCTTCAATAAAGGTAAAAGTGATGTTAAATGTTCATTTATCCATTTCATTAGTCATTTATATTTATTTCTCATTGTTTTCTGTATGTAAAAATATAGTTATTCGCTATACAATTTAGTTTTTGTTAATAGTTTTGGGTGTCTGGAACGGATTAATTGGATTTACATTATTATGGGAAACATTGCTTCAGTTTTTGTACGATTCGGTTTTCGTCTGACTTTTTTGAATGGATTAATCACGAAAACCGAGGTTCCACTGTATACAACTTTGAAATATATTCATGATTGGACAGTCATTTATTTTAAAAATGCAAGTGCTTTTTTGTTGCTGTCCGGCCCACTTTAGTCCAGGCAGTTTTGAAGTAATTTGTTCTTGGACAGACACTAAACTAGGATGCATCTCTTTGTCCAAGTGAGGTGAAGAGGCCTCCCCGGGAGTGTTTTTCTACCAGCTGCTGGCTGAAACGAGTGAAGTGTCATTGCAATCAATTGAGTCTATAATAAGCACTCTCACATTCACCAAAACCACCAGAGGGAACATTCAGGAGGATTTATTGTAAGTGCAACAAGCTTCAATCAGTGGTTAATCCTACAAGATTTTTTTTACAATAGTTCTTAATCTATTCAGTTAACATACAAAATGAAATGTTAGGCATTACAGTTTATGACACTTTGTTCTATGGAAGTAGGTTTTATGTACCAGTGTCAAGTAGTCACGAAGAGGCGTCTTTGCATTTCCCTTTTCACATTGTTGTTTATCCAATGAATTTTGGAGCAGCTACAATAAGCAGTGAATATTAATATCCATCTTCACACAGCTGGTTGACTTCAGACAGCAGCCTGTCACTGAAGATGTATGTCGCTCATCAATCATATTAAATAGAAAAGCAGTGAAATGTGGCAAATCACAGTATCATGACATCCTGAAATGTGATGGGACTTTATCAAAGGTTGGATGCATCATAGTTTTCTTTGGTACTGCTGTATTTTTATTATACTTGGAGGGACTTTTTTAGTCTTTGATTAGTCTAAAATTCTTGAGGAAACTACATCTGTAGATGATGTATTAATAAATCTAATTAAAACCATTTTTTTTTCTCTGGGCCTGCAAGTCATGCTGCACTGTCTTTGTTTTATTGCAACAGATGTGGTTACATTGTGTAAATGGTACAGATGCCCAACACTTTATGAATGCATCCTAGTCAAATTTTCAATTACAGTACCATTTTAAGTTACATTAGTTTCTTTGTAAAAAATGCATATAATTTTGCACCTAGCAAAAACAGGGTGAACAAATTGGTAGAGCAGGATCTTAGATATTCCAATGGGTCAGTGGGGTACTTACTATGTAGTACGAAAATGGGCTCGTTGTAGGCTTAAATAAACAATCCCTCCAAACATTTCTGTGAAAATGTCTGTAACAAGCATCCGGATTGTACATATGGTACAAATGAAAAGAAAATGAGTTGAATAGTTTATATTTTAAAGAAGATTGTCTTACAGGTAGGATCCTACAGATGTGTGCATATTTAGCTGTCCCAGAGCAGCAACAAGCTGTGTTAATGCTATAAAAGCTTCCAGTCTCAGCAGAGTAAAACTAGTACATGGAGGACTGATGAGGGTGGAAGCGAAGCATAACAGAAGCCAGTTGGAGGATTTACTGGCCTGGGTCGTGACAGTAGAATATCATGTTATGGGAATGGATTCGTTTGATGTGGTCAGTGGGTAGACTGACAACATACAGTACAGTGTGGCCCCTGAATCCTGCCTGAACTTGCAATCAAGTCAGAAACATTGTAGCTAAGCCAAACCACTTTTGAAAAGAGAATTAGCATTTCTTCTTGCTTAAGGCTATAGCAGACTTCAGTATTTATAGACATACTGTACAGTGCATGTGATATCAATGCCACATGCAGCAATATGGTCGGTGTTGTATGCGCTGAACAGGGCACCACTTTGTGCAGCTTTTACAAAGGAATCTCCCTCACAGAGAGACGAGCAGCACTGCAGCTTTTATTGTGTATGTGTCTGCAAAAAGCACTGGTTAAGAGATTTTTATGTCTCATTTGCACATTTCTCATTAGCTTGCTGCAGTGCCCACAGAGTTAACATTGTAAATTTCAGCAGAGACAAAAGATGTTTGTTTTACCACAGGAAAAAGATTTTATTGGTGATGTCTGGAGAACTTACTTGCTTGCCGTCACTGGAAAGTAGAAGTGTGTGACAGGGCCTATCTCCCCTAAGATTATATATAATAATTCAATATAATTTCAGTCCATTTCTGTCAGCATTTTGTACGTAATGTCGATGATATCAGTGCAGTTCTAAATTAATGAGCCTTCACATCAGGAGCTGCTGTTGCTCCAGAAGGTTGAACACTGAGACCAACAGTCACAACAAAAAGTATTATCCTTAAACTGGTTATTAATCATCTTCTCTCTTCCTCTTCTTCATTTATGAAGTGGCATTACAGTCATTGAGTCTCTCACAACAAAGTATCATGCTTTAATGGAAATGCAATGAGACAAACTAATGATTCCAATTCTGTGAATTTTTTATGTGATGTTGAGCTTTTTAGGTATAAAAGAGCTTTATGTTGTTATTACACTGAAAAGACTCAAGTCTGTATGTGATGATGTCTGCAGCTCTGCTGGGAGCAAAATATGCTATTTTTATGTGGATATGCTATTTTCTTGTGTGTCTGTGAATGACCAAAATCACATCTCTGAAACTACCAATAACAAGTTGAAGGTCTGGGGAAGAGGTCATTTAAAAATATATGTAATGTATCAAAGTAAATGAATCAAGTACAATTTAATTTACCACATATTTTTAGCTTCTAGCTTTTTCAAATGTGACTTCACATCAGTCAGTTTACAGGTTGGAGTGATATCTTGCATGCCTAATTCTTATTTTTATGATGAAAGCACAAATAATACATATATTAGTAAAATAAAATGGCACCCTTGCTACTTAAAAGTGAGCACTTTTTTTCTCAAACTCCCTTGTTTCAGTGAGCTAAACGTGTGCTGTTAGTGCACTGTTTCCGTCCATGGTGCTGACAGGGACCTAGCTCAACCGTCTGTCTATAACTGTGGTTCAGTCCAGTAGCTTTCTTTCAGTTTACCAAAACCTTTGCTCAGTGGTCCACACAGTTTGCTTCCTACCTGTGCAGTCCACTGTCACAATGCCAGATTTCTGTCTGAGCAGGGCTGTGAGCTGTGACTTAGAAAATATATCCATGTCGTAGTAAGTTCACCATGATTGCTGCCACAGTTTATTTGCTGTCTGTGACAGTAAAAGGGATATTATGTGTGGACTTCACTTCATAAGGAAATATAATGACATGGGTTTGTTCTTACCTACAGTGACTTGCAGGTGAGTCTTTGATTGCTGAACTCTTAACAGAGCAATTGCCTGTAATTTTATAGACCCTGTTAGGCTTGCACATTTCCTACGCACCTTGCATCATTTCAATTAGTTTGGATTTTGGCTCAGCCTTCTTGTGTTATAAAGATGATTCCCTCACCAGATAATGAGAAATTTAGCTCTGCCAACATATCTATTATCTTCCACAAACAGTTGTATGTGGGAAGCTCGGCACATCAGTGCAGTTGGTTGCACCGAACCGGGGTTCAAAACAGAGCTCAC